AAAATTATGGTGGATTTAAAATTGAGATGGATTCTAGGTAAATTTTTTGAAATTTGAGCAAGTAGATTAGTGAAGGAAATTAGGGGTGAATTTAGGGCACATCCTCAAAAGCTTAGGGCTAGGTAATTGGTGAAAGGAAATTAAAAGTGAGCTTTAAGGGAGAAAAAATTCAAGACAGTGAGAAAGAAAAAAAGTAAGGTAACCAAAACAAAATTGAAAATTGGGGGGAGAGAAGTAGAAATAAAGGCGAAGGAAGTAAATCGTTTACTATAACAAATATTTTCCACCGTAAAACTTACTGAACATAAAATTAAAAAAAAAAAATTAAGAATTTGTTGGACACAATTTTAAAAGTTAAAAAAATCTCCTAAACACACCGACGAAAGTTGAAGAACTAAGTTTATAATTTTATTATTTCTTATTTGCGTAGAAGTTTCATTAGACGCTTCAAAATTAAACTATATGTTGAAAAATACACAATTTTCTATATTTATTAACTAAAATTATAATTTAAGGCATAAGAGGTAGGCAGAGAGATCATAAATTCCATTGGTAACCTTAACTAAAATATGATTTACAAACAAAAAAGAGGAAGAAGAAGGGTGAATTTAAAAAGATTCCCATTCCCAAAAATTGATAATAAATGTGATTTTGACACATAAAATGATAGAAAATGAAGAAACAACGTGGTTGTGTGTGAAAACATTGACTAATAAAGGGTACGGTTAATGAGGGAAGAAAGAAAATTGCATAATAATAATAATAGCGGTGTTTCCAATGAGAGCCATCAATTCAAAACCCAACATTATTCTCTATTACTTCTCCGAAGTCCAAACCAAACAACATAGTTTCCCGTGAAACATACGAATGAGAAGGAAAAAGAATTTATTGATATTTATTTACTTATTTATTTTGGACGTAATAATATATTAATTGAAAAAAAAGGGGGGGTTTTGAAAACGATGTAATTGAAATGACAAGGCTCTGGATAAAGTACATTCTTATTATCATCTTTAAACTGTCTTTTACAGTCTGCACACAAAAGAGGGCAAGGGATTGGGAAACGCCTCTTCTAAAAAATATACCAACCAATTTCACCAATTATTTATTTTACCCCAAATAACTATGCTTATTACAATTACTACACTGTTAAAAGTTTTAATTTGATCCCTCCACCTTTGAAACTTATTAAAATTGTTGTAATTAAACCCTTAAATATTCTTTGATTATATGATTTTTCTAATTAAGCTCAAAATTTTTACATCAACTTTTTGTTTTTTTAATTGAATGTTTGGCTCAGCATTGTCTGAAAACTTTTTTTTAAGGGAAGAAACCAAAAATTTTGATGGTTGATATTTTTGTTTTCAAACTTTTATGGAATTAAAAAAAACATAGGTTAAATTGGCTTGCCTATTTTAAATTATTGAAGGTTTTAATTGTAACCATGCATTAAGTACAATATATTTTTTTAGCTTCACCATTACTCTCCTTTAACAAATTTATTTACTTATAAATTACATCTCTTAAAAAATGTTTGTTATTTATTTATATATATATTTTTATGATGTAGTCTACTTTGGTAAGTTTAGCATGAAAAAAAAAAAGTTAACTAGTGAAATTCTTAAAATTGTGTTTATTTAGTCTAGAGTACTGAAATTAGACCCACGGGTACACGAAGTGGGTGTAGAGTTTTAGAGATATTTTTCTTAGGAAAAATCTCAAGCCTCATTAACTCGACACTAATCTACGTAGCATGCTTCCATTACCGATATAATCTTTGGAATAATAGTATGTAAACTTTTTTTTTAATAACACTTTCAAAATTACCGATATAATCTTCGGAATAATAGTATGTAAACTTTTTTTTAATAATACTTTCAAAATTATCCGTCAGGTAAACAAAATTTTCTAAATGTGAACTGTGAAGGGGAAGATTGGACACTATTGCACCACAATAAATTTTCCCACCTAATCCATGATTAACATATGACATATATCTATTTCAAAAGGAAAAGGAACAACACATTGGAAAAGAAAAACGTTTTTACTTTAAACAAATACGCAAATTTTAAAAATTCTATATTTTAATTTCTGAAATTTTGGCTAAAATAAAACAAAAAAAAAAACTTTTTTTTTTCAAAGTGGGAGAGGATAGCGCTTTTGACGCGAGCAACTTTTTGAAATAATCTATTAAGCACTTATTTTTAAAAATAATAAACATTAACCATTATACTTTTATTTTGAGATGGAGACCAACAAAAGTTCAAAAATACTTTTTTTTCTATTTTTCTTTCGTAAAGATATTTAAAAATACATTTTAAATGTCGAGAAAGAGTGTAGACTTAAACTCACCATCTTTTAACTTGAGATATATATCTTGACCAATTGAATTACATTTGGATGGATCAAGAAAAACTAAACTATTTCAAATATGTTAATATTGTAAAAATTTATAAAAACAATAATTAGAGAAATAGTAATTAGGAATTATGTATGTGCACGGACAGGACGGGAATAGAGAAGGCCTTCCTGTCCTCATCTACGTCCCTATTTAATTTCTCATCCCCGCAAAATTTCCAACGAATTTTTTGCGGGGATTCTGGCTAAGATTTTCCACATGAAATTCACGAGGATTGGGTTGCCTGCACAAAAATTTTCCTAATTTAGTTTTAAAAATTATTTATCAATTAAATATTTTCTAAATAAATTTATAATTAATTGCTTAATTTTCAATGACAAATTAATTTTATTATATGGTCTATATATATATTAAAAAAAAGTGAGGTAGGTTAGATAATGGAGAATGGGGACAGAAAACATATTTCTCACTCACATTTTCATTTATGTGATGAGAAAAAAAATACTTTTTTATCTCCCACCTCGTGGGGAATTTAAACGTGAATTTCCCGTCTCGTTTATGCAAGTCCTCTTAGAATCCATCCTCGTGAAAAGATGGACATCTCTAGTAATGATGTATTTAAATTAAGACTACTACGTGTAGATTGAAAGTTCGAATCTCCATCTGATTTGATTAAAAAATACTTAATTGGGCCTGAAGGCAAATGAATACATACATACGTAAACAACTTTGATCATTGGGTTGGAAAATC